CCATAAAAGTTTCACTGAAATTGGCTCATAAAAGCTACAGCTATGAATTATTCTATTTAATTACAGAAAAACATATATCTAAAGCTACAGAAAAAAAACCTTATACTAAAGCATACCATATTATATGTTCACTATGTAGATCTACTCATGTCGAGTCCAACAAAATTGGATTTTCCATTTATATGATTTTTCTGTGATTTACTATGATTTTTCAAAGATTCAGTACAAATAAATAAAAAAGTAAAAAACAAAATCACCATCACTATAGCAAAACCACCGTCTATAACTGCTTAGGGGGGGGGGGTTAGTTGACCAGTTTTGAAAAGTTCAGGGGTAGAAACTCTGGTTTTATACTTTGGGGGGTGAAGTAGTTCACGCTAAATAGTTTGGGGGGTTACGTAGACTTTTTCCCAAAACTATTAGGGTACCCGCAATGGTATAAGCCAGTTATTGGCTCTAAGCCAATCTCTCCAATAATGCTAGCTTTTAGTAGTGGTTTATAGTATGATTAGGCCCACATGACACTCATATAATCTTGAAATATGTTTATGAGCATAGCTCTTAGCTATCTTTTCTCTCTTTTCTATTAAAATATAAAAAAAATGTTTATAGTTAGCTTATAAGTCAACAATTGCGGGCGCCCATATACACCCACCAACTGGGTACTGGTGTGGGCGCCAATCTAAAGGCACAAAATAAATAAATTGATTAGCTCAATGAGCATGTCTTCCAAATACCTGATGTACAAACCAATGTTCTTGAAGAAATTTGAAGCAGAGTAGCAAGAATTCTGCTTTGGGGTATATAGCTATGGGGCTTTATTGCTTTTTTCCTTATCTCAGAGTGTCGGTATGGTGTTGCTCGAACTTTCCCCTCTACTGTTCAGATTGGTGTCTCGGAGGTTTTATAGAGTTATTGAAAAGAAAAACTCAAAGTCCCCATATGGAACTCTCAAATCGCTCAAAGGTTTACCAAGCCATGGCATAGCCAACCTTCCTTCCTTCTTTGGCTGATATGTGGAGCTTTAAGTAGGGTCGAGTATGGCAGACTTAGGTTGCTTAATTTTGTCATCAAAGATTGGTTCAAAAGATGGACATCTGAGCACACCCTGACCATTGGAAAGATGTGAACTCACTGTTGGTTTTATTTGCACTAGCCCTTATTTAGTTTGCTCTGTCTTGACCTTACTTGCACAAGTATGTCCTCCTCTTTCTTCCTCTCTCTCTCTCTCGCTCTCTCTTTTTGGACTAAGAGGAAGGGAGGACTAATACATTTTCTTGATTTTCAAGTTGTGAGGACTTTAGAAATGAGCATTTATTTCTGGACATATACGTGGTGTGTATGTGGTGGCACTGGGTTGTATGTGGAAGTGGCAGTTAAATGGATCTGAGATGAATGGATGCTGAATTCACAGCATGATCAGATTAAAGGGAAGGTTAGCAATCAAAGGCCATGTGAAGGAGAAGGGTGTAGGAGTGCTCAGAATTCCGTCTAATGGACCCAAAAATTGGCAAGGCTCAAAGCAACCTGAAAGTGGCTATTTGTGGAGGTTTTGAAATGTAAAGTACTTGGCTTTGCTAGGAAATAAACCATAGGGGAACTTTATCATTATTTTTGCACCCACAAAATTAAGACCTTAATTGCGGAGATCCAAAAGGGTCGTGCTAGACGCCACCCCGGGTGGCACGCAGCCGCCGCCGACCAGGCTAATTATTTCCTGTCCCCCGTCCGCTTCCATAGTATGGGCCTGTTTCTGCGTTTTCTGGGCCCGCTCTGTCCTTTCTGCTGGCCGTGCGTCCGCTCGCTTCTTCCCTGAGCGCCCTTCTCTGTTGGTAAAAAAAAAAAAAAAACCGAGCGGGCTTCCCTGAGATGCACTGGCGGAGCCACTGCATGTGATGTGTATGTCCTTCGCTCTGCTGCTACCACTAGCAGTGATCAGCTGAGGCACAGACCGGCCATGCCCCTGCACACATCAGTAGCGTGTGGTATGCTCCCACTGTACTACTCCGTCGTTAGGCTGTTTTCTTTGTTTCTACAGTCTGCTGTTCTGCGTCGTCTAAGCCTTTTCTATTCTTTAATCCGTATAGTATGCACACAGATACAATGAAATTTAAAAAAGAATAAAACATAACAAGACTAATAAAAATAAAAAAAAGAAAGGAAACACAAAAGAAAAGAAAAATACGTATGCACACAGATACAATGAAATTTAAAAAACTTGTAATAAAAAATATTACAAAAACTAAAAGATATAGAAAATAAAATAAATAAAGAAATAAAGAAACAACTCACGTAACAATTGAAAAAAGAATAAGAAAGAAAAGGAGAAAATAAAATAAAATACATCATAGAACATCACATTTATATTAAGTGAACATCCCTAGATACACAATCGAACATCAAATGTATAATAAGTGAACATCCCCAGATACACAATCGAACATCAAATGTATACTAAGTGAACATCACAGATACAACATAGAGCATCACATGTATACTAAATGAACATCCCTAGATACACCATCAAACATCACATATGTACGAAGTGAACTTCCTCAGTTACATCATATGTATACTAAGCGAACATCCCTAATTACACCATAGAACATCACATGTATACTAAGTGAACATCCCCAAATACACCATAGAACATCACCTGTATACTAAACATCACTCAGATACACCATAGAACATAACATGTGTACTAAGTGAACATACCCAAATACATCATAAAACAATACTAAATACATCCCCAGATACACCATACAATAAATACATAATAGAACATCACATATATACAGTACGTGAACAAGACTAAATACATTTTAGAACAACAAGCGTATTGATTTGAAAATAAAAATTAAAGCATAAAATTATAAATAGTAAAAAAGAAGGAAATAAAATGAAGTACAAAATAGAAAAAAGAAACAAAAAGAATAATAAATAACACAAAAATGAAAAATGAAAAATAAGAAAGGAAAAAGAAATAAGAAAATAAAAATAAAAAAGGAATAAAAGATGAAAAGAAAGAAAAATAAAAAAGAATAAAACATAACAAGACTAATAAAAATAAAAAAGAAAAGAAAAATAAAAAGAAAACAAAAGTACGTATGCACATAGATACAAATGAAATTAAAAAACTTGTAATAAAAAATACGACAGAAACTAAAAGATATAGAAAAATAAAATAATGAAATTAATAAAGAAAGAAAGAAAGAAAGAAAGAAAAAGAAAAGAAGAAAGAAAGAAAAAACTCACCTAACAGTGGAAAAAAGAATAAGAAAGAAAAGGAGAAAACAGAAAAAAAAATAAATTCACATGTTCTGTCTAGTAGCAGTAGCTCACGTATTTAAAAAAAAACAGTACTCGCTCCGTCCCAGGTTTGTTTGCACATTTAGAATTCAAAATTTTGCCCACATTTAATCGATCACGTTGGCCAGAACCAGACGAGTGAAGCAGTAGCAGAGCACTGCAGCGCTATAGACAGTGCCAGCGTGAACGACCAAAAAAATATAAAAAAGAACTAAAAAACAAAAGGAAAACAGAAAAAAAAATCAACTCAGGCTCACTCGGCCCTTCCAGAACCTGCCCGTGGCCCTTCCAGAACGTAGCATGAGCATGCACCACTGCCTGGCGCGGAGGCTTGTTAATCATTATGCATGGCTGTGTCGCGTGGGCCGTGTCGTCGTTTGTGGGCCGCAGTAGGTAGGCCGTACGCGTCACTCTTCTGTTGGCACAGGGGGTGGTCGGACGCCGGCCGGGTGTCACCCTGGTCGGCGCCGAAGATTGGCGGATCCAAAATGTGCTATTCTACCCAAACTCTAAGTGAGTACTGAGTTGTATAACAAGCATTTGCAAAACATAAACAGAGTAACTATTCATTATTTGTAAGATAAAGAAGAAAAACACTAAAGCTCTACACATGCTTGAGAAATTTTATTGCTGAAAGCCTAGTGGGGGAAGAACCTGATGCTATCGAAATAATCGGTCAAACTCCCTTGCACGGAGAGTGTGACTCCATACTAGTAGAAAACAGACCTTTCATCCGAGGCTAAAATGGGCTTTAGTCCCGGTATTTTTTGCGCCCGGGACTAGAGAGACCTTTAGTCCCGGTTGGTGTCTCCAACCGGGACTAAAGGTCCATGCTCAACGGCTATCAAGCTTTCAAGACAGATGGCGAGGGACCTTTAGTCTCGGTTGGAGACACCAACCGGGACTAAAGGTGGACCTTTACTCCCGTTGGAGCCACCAACCGGGACTAAAAATCCTCAACCTTTAGTCCCGTTGGTGTTACCAACCGGGACTAAAGATAGACCTTTAGTCCCGGTTGGTAACACCAACTCCGGATTAAGGACCCTTTAGTCCCGGTTGGTGCCACCAACCGACTAAAGGTCCTCGATGGGTTAGTTCAAAGGAAGCATCCCATCTATTGTCGATGTGTTGTGTAGGTGGGGTGGTAAGCTAGCACTGTGAGGCAATGCATGAGGTCTTGGGTTCGAATCTCACGACGCAGCGGTGGGAGATATTATTTTTTTTTAAAGCTGGGAGGACCTTTAGTCCCGGTTGGTGTTACTCACCGGGACTAAAGGACCCCCCTTTAGTCCCGGTTCCTGACCCGGGACTAAAGGACCCCCTTTAGTCCCGGATGCTTACTCCCGGGTGGGGAACCGGGACTAGAGGTGGTTCCCCACCGGGAGTAAAGCCCGTCTCTGTATTAGTGATAGTCCACCTCTTGCTGAAGGGCTATACCTGGTCCTTCACGACCCCCACTCGGTCCATGAGGTAGGTAGGGTTCATGAACTAGTTAGGAGGATGACGAACGGCTCTAGGGAGAAGAAATCGCCAAGGCTCCGATCGCGAGTTAACAGTTTCAGGCTCCCATAATCTAGCATCTCTATGTGTTGACAGGTTATTTCTATATTTTGTTTTGTTTGATACATGCAGGATGAGCAGGAACGAATCATCACTGGATGGCAGAGGAGCAGCACTGAATCCGGCGGCTATCTGGAGCGGCATCTGTCACGATCGGTGGGCACGACGGTGCCGTTGCCAGGGAAGAAGAGGCGCAGGCGGCACCAGATGCGCGTCCAATACCGGAGCCTGACGAAGACGCCCACCTTCCACCGAGTGCGCGCCTTGCCCAACAGGTCGAATGGCACAACGCTAGCCTTGAGCGCCGCATCCATAGCCTGCATCCCCTCAGCGTCCAGCGTCCGCCCCACCGACACGACGTTGTACCGCAGCGGCAGGGAGCTCTCCCGCGCCACCACGAAGGGTTCCGCACGCAGGAGGGCGACGTCGACGCCGTGGAATCCCAGGGCGAGGTCGACGCGGGAGAAGGTGGCGTCCGCCCTGGAGTTGTTGTTCTCGGCCCGGATGGTGATGGACATCTGCAGGGACTGGATTGTGCCGCCCTGGTCGTACTGCAGCAGCCCCAGCCGCGCGTCGGAGACTGCCAGGTACGGCATCTTGGGCTTGAAGAGCGTGTACACGGCGAACACCGCCGCGCCGGCCAAGATCACTGCGATGGCCAGCACGGTGCACAGGATCACCGTCGCCCACGCCCACCACCCGGAGCTCCTACACTCTCGTGATCCGCCCCAGAGGCCCAGACCACCCACGTCCGTGCCTCCGCCACCGGTGGTTTCTTCCTCGTCACGGCCTGTTCTTCCTCCAGCTCCTGCTTGACGTCGTCGGCCTCCGGCGGCGGCGGCTTGCTGGGATCCTTTTCGAACTCGTCGGCCTGCACCGCGTACCTGCGCATGCGCGGCGTGGGCGAAGTGCCCGCCGCGCTGGCGGTCGTGCGACACCTTGTACGACAGCAGGGTGGCGAAGAGCGCTGCCCAGGTCTTGAGGCTGAGGAGGTGCTTCAGCTAGCTCCTCCCAGAGCCTGCGGATCATGCGGTTGGGCGGCCTAGCCTCGAGGACCTTCTGGTGCTCCCCGAGCTTTCTGTGGGCGCTGTCGTAGTCGCCCGTTGCAATCGCCTCGTCTATCTTGTCGACGTATATGATACGCTCCAGCTCCTGCTCCACCTCCGCGTTCATGGCGCCCGGGCTGGCTGATCTGGCACGGCGCATAAAGCACCTCATCCGGTGATCACGAGGGCAGTAGAAAGTTTCTCCTCGGACTCTGCAAAAAGGCACGAGAAATGTGTTCAAGTAGTAATGATTCATTCAATTGTTAATGAGAGCGATGCATATGCATATCCCATATAAACGAGCTAGCGTTGCATTGGGGGACTTGTGCACCTGTACGAGCATCGGGCGAGCAAGACAGCCACGCGGTGCTCATTGTGGACGGCAGGGAGGAGGACGCGGACGAGGACCTTCCGAGCTTCGCCGCTGAAGAGATCGCCAAAGCTGACGGTGACCCAGCCGGCGGCGCTGTCGCCCACCTTCCGGTAGCTCCCGGCGTACACCTCCTCCGCCTCTATCGTGGAGTGGCCTGGCTGCTGCCACACGGTGAGATTGAGGTCCTGGACCGCGACGAGGGGTTTGGTCACCGGCATATATATGCCACACCCCTTTACTCCCGGTGCCAGCCTCCCATCGAAAGTAAAGGTCCTTTATTCCCGGTGCGTATTGGTTTTTTGGCGGGCGACGAAACTGCAGCCCACCTTTACTCCCGGTTGGGCTTCCCACCCGGGAGTAAAGGTGGGCTGCAGTTTCGTTTCTCGCATGTTTTGAGGAAATTTTTTTAATAGAAATGCAATAGTCTTGTTAAATATATAGTAAATTAAATAAAAGGCATAATATTATTTTGTTAAAAATATAAATTTTTTTTCTTTATTGCACATAGGAAAAATCTATAACCTAACTTTTTTTATTTTTTGTTATAATTATAAAACATAATGTAACTAATATTTATTATTTCGTTAATGCAAAAATATAGTGTTTAATTAAAATTATTAAAACTATTGGTTTTGGACGGGAAATTTGTTTTCACATCATTTTAACGTTAATATTTTAATTTTTCATCACTCAATATCCTAATTTAACTTTTCGAGAGTTGATTTAATTTGAAACACGACATAATAAACATCTGAATTCACAATTATTACATAATATCTCAAACACACACTACATTAAATCACTATATCATCAAGTGGGCACAGCAGTGAACTTCTTCTTTACATATGTCCCTTGGTTATGATCGCGTCGTAACCATGGAGTGTCCTCATCATTTACCAAGATGCTATGGTCTTTGTTCACTTTGAAGGGTGGAATTCGGTCATCCTTTTCATAATCTTCTGACATGTCCGACTTGTCCTCAATTCCCACGATGACTCTTTTCCCTAAAAGAACTATGTGACGCTTTGGCTCTTTGGTTGAGTCATTATCGTTTTTCCCTTTTTTTTGGTTTGGTAGATATATCATTGACATAGAACACCTGATTCACATCCTTGGTAAGGACGAATGGCTCGTCTTTGTACCTAATATTACTAAGGTCTACTGTTGTCATTCCATACTCGTTGTCTACTGTTACCCCGCCTCCGGTCACCTTGACCCATTGGCACTTGAACAATGGGATCTTCAAAGTAGGTGCATATTCTAGTTCCCATATTTCATCTATGCGGCCATAATATGTCTGCTTATTCCCATTCGGGTCTGTGGCATCTATGTGGATACTACTGTTTTGGTTGGTACTCCTTTTATCTTGGGTTACTGTGTAGAATATGTTTCCATTTATCTCGTACCCTTTGTATGTGACGATATGCCATGATGGTTGCATAGCCAATAAATACAGTTGCTCATGGATGCTCTCATCACCTTGACATTTTTTTCGCAGCCAACCGCTGAAAGTTTCCATGTGCTTACGCGTAATCCAAGCTTCAATCTTCCCTAGAAACTCGGATCGTAAGAGATCCTGGTGTGTCTCAATATATGGATCTACCAAAGAGGAGTTCTGTAGAACTGTGTAGTGCGCTTTATTGAAATAATCATCCTCCGTACCAATATATGTTTTCCTCCCTAGTGTCCCCTTTCCGCTTAGTCTCCCCTCATGTCTCGATTCAGGAACACCAATCGAGTCAAGGTCGGGAATAAAGTCAACATAGAACTCAATGACCTCTTCTGTTCCATAGCCCTTGGCGATGCTTCCTTCTGGGTGAGCACGGTTGTGAACATATTTCTTTAGGACTCCCATGAATCTCTCTAAGGGGAACATGTTGTGCAGGAACATAGGACCGAGAATGAAAATCTCCTTGACCAGGTGAACTAGGAGGTGTGTCATGATATCAAAGAAGGAAGGAGGGAACACCAACTCAAAGCTGACGAGACATTGAACTACATCATTCTATAGTTTAGCTAGATCCGTTGGATCAATTGCCTTCTAAGAAATTGCATTGAGGAATGCACATAGCTTCACGGTGGCTAGACGTACATTTGGAGGTAGAATTCCTCTTAATGCAACTGGAAGTAATTGCGTCATGAGAACGTGACAGTCATGGGACTTTAAGTTACAGAATTTCTTCTCTGGCACATTTATAATACCCTTTATAATTCCTCTTAAGCATTCAAACATGATTTCCTTCTCTTCTTTGCTTAGAGTGTAGCTGGCAGGACATAAGTAATGGCGTCCATCATCTGTCTTCTCTAGATGCAGGTTGTCTCTTTCTCTCAAACAACGCAGGTCCTGTCGTGCTTCAAATGTGTCCTTGGGCTTTCCATACACACCCATAAAGCCTAGCAGGTTCACACAAAGATTCTTCGTCAGGTGCATCATGTTGATCGAGCTGCGGACCTCTAGGACTTGTCAATAGGGTAGCTCCTAAAATATGGATTTCTTCTTCCACATGGGTGCGTGACCGTTAGCGTCGTTCGGAACAGGTTGGCCGCCATGTCCTTTTCCAAAGACGACTTTCACATCATTGACCATATCGAGTACATCCTCATCGGTTCGGTTGCGAGGCTTGGTCAGGTGGTCTGCATTCCCTTTAAAATGCTTGCCTTTCTTTCTTACGGGGTGATTTGCAGGAAGAAATCGACGATGGCCAAGGTACACGACCTTTCGACATTTTTTCAAGAATACACCTCTAATATCACCGAAGCAGTGTGTGCATGCATTATATCCCTTGTTTGACTGTCCTGAAAGATTACTTAGAGCAGGCCAATCATTGATTGTTACGAACAACAATGCTCGCAGATCAAAGTGTTCCTAGTTGTACTCATCCCACACACGTACACCTTCTTTATTCCACAAAATGAGAAGTTCGTCAATAAGTGGTCTCAGGTACACATCGATGTCATTACTACGTTGCTTCGGGCCTTGGATGAGCACAGACATCATAATGAACTTCAGCTTCATGCATAACTAAGGAGGAAGGTTATAGATACTTAGAGTAACAGGCCAAGTGCTATGACTACTGTTCTGCTCTCCAAAAGGATTGATACCATCTATACTTAAAGCAAACCTTAAGTTTCTTGCGTCATTTGCAAACTCCGGAAATTCTCTGTCGATTGCTCTCCACTGGGACCCATCAGCAGGGTGTCTCAACATATTGTCTACCTTACGGTCTTCTTTGTGCCATCGCAACAATTTTGCATGTTCTTTGTTTCTGAACAGACGTTTCAAGCGTGGTATTATAGGAGCATGCCACATAACCTTGGCAGGGATTTTCTTCCGCGGACGTTCGCCCTCAACATCACCAGGGTCATCTCGCCTGATCTTATACCGCGATGCATGGCATACCGGGCATGCATCCAATTTCTCGTACTCTTTGCCACGGTAGATGATGCAGACATTAGGACATGCATATATCTTCTCGATTTCTAGCTTCATAGGACAGACAACTTGTTTTGCCTCGTAGGTAGTGGCGGGCAATTCATTGTCCTTCGGAAGCATCTTCTTTTGGATTTTTAGTAACTCTCCAAATCCCTTGTCAAATACACCATTCTTTGCCTTCCATTGCAGCAATTCTAGTGTGGTTCCCAACTTTTTCTGCCCTACATCACAAGTTGGGTACATCAATTTCTTGTGATCTTCTAGCATCCGCTCGAACTTGATCTTCTCCTTTTCACTTTCACATTCTCTTTGTGCGTCACGAATGACCTGACAAAGATCATCAGCAGGCTCATCTTCTGCGGCTACCTCTTCTTCAGCTTCTCCCATTGCAGTATCATTGAAGCACACACCATCAGGAATAATATCATTGTCGTCCCATTGTTCTTCTTCACCTTCTTTCATTACAACGCCGGTTTCTCCGTGCTTCGTCCAACAAATATAGTTTGGCATGAAACCCGATTTGAACAAGTGTGAATGAAGAGTCCTTGAACAAGGATATTCCACCGTATTCTTACATATGGCACATGGGCAGCACATGAAACCGTCGCGTTTGTTTGCCTCGGCCGCATGTAACAAAGAATGCACACCATCAATGAGCTCTTGGGAGCGGCGATCAGCATTGTACATCCAATGCCGGCTCATCTACATTACATGACATAAATATCATATTAAAACCTAGATCATAATTAATTATTTATACAACATGTGTGCCACCACAAAATGTATAAATTTATGAAAGCATTGCTACAATGTAGACAATCCCAACTACCACTAAAAGAACTAAAGTTAAAATACATTTCAGGAGCACAAGAATTTCACGACCAATCTCAACTAAAACAGACAGATCCTCCGATTGTATAACATCTTTGGGCTTCTTCGGCTGGATCACTGCCTCATTAGCCGCCGTATCTGCCTGTTGTGCAAGATATTTTTGCACGAGTTCAACATACTCTTCCTCCCAGTAGAAGCCTGGACATCGTCCACTGCCATCTCACTGAAATTAAAACAAAAAATTAGAACTTTAATCACAACCATCATGAAAATAGGTATAAACTAACCATAATCATAAAATACGATAAAATAACTCACATTGCGATCCGGACACTTGTAGAAGATACGACCCTTGTTGGGACCCTCCTTCTTCACTCAGTACTCCATCACAATCTTCGTCTCATCACGACACTTGCCGCATGGAATGAGAGGGAGGCCCGGCCTAAGTCGCTTTGGAAACCCATGAGAGACCGAGGACGCGGAAGCAGTTGCCATCTACTCTCTATAGTCATTTTTTAATACACTATAAATTTCTCATTTTATAAACAAATAAAATTAAGAAACTATAAAATTATCTATATCTCTAAACAATGAAGTGTGTTATGCATGCTAGAAATAAAAAGTGAATACTTTATTAAATACCTACTTTAACCTTTCTTCATCCAAATATGCAAACTATAAGTTATTTTGAGCTCAAATTGTTTACAAACAAAAAAAAAAACACCATAAAACAATATATATATAGTGAACAATATGAGATAAGCCAATGATGAAAAATGAGAGTATGGGATTGGTAACCTTTACAACTGAAGAATCGACGGAGGAATCGAAGAAATCGACGGAGGAATCGAAGAATGGATGGAGGAACAATGGAGGAAGGAAGCAAGAACACTAGTGCAGTGAGCTTCAAAATGTGCGGAGCTCGGGCTCGGGGAGGAAGAAGGAGACGGCCGG